AAATTATAAAATTCAATTAAAACGAAATTATCAAAAAAAATCTTACAAAAAGTAAGTTATAATTCTATAAGTATTTATTTGCAAATTTGGTTGCACAAAAAAAAGATAAAACAAGTAGTTATTGTTTCCTTATTGTCTTTTGCGCAAATCTTGAAAAAAATAATACTTTATATAAGTGTGTTCTACACGAGCAATAAAGGCACAAAAAATAAAGCAAAGAACTCAGATACATATAAAAGTTGACTACAGAAGTGGGGATATACAATACAATACGAAAGTAAACAATACTCTTTATTTTACCACAAGAACAGATAAAAATAACAAAAAATAAATAAAAGACTATTGAGGAAAATACAAAGAGCGGTCTTATTGCTACAAGGAAAACTCTTCCAGACAACCCAAAAGAAGAAATAAATAAAAAAATATTATATATTTATATATACCATAAGACTGTGCTGGTACTATCGTGTGTACTCCATAATTTATCACACAGTTTTTGACTTGTAAAACTAAATCATTTATCCATTATCCATTACAGCCTATAAAGCCTAATCCCCCACAAATTTCCTCAAAGGGGACATTTCGCCATAGCTGCCACGCTTGACAAGCGGGTTGACAAACACTGTATTTTATTATTTTAAGTTGTTATTAGGACGACGCTGCTGCCCATCTCCTATTCCAATTTCCCTCTGTCGTATCTTACGACACCCTCGGGATGATATGGGGTAGTGGATATTCTTACACCGCCACTACACGGTGTAATTTATAACCATTTGAATTTTTCTCCTCCACACTCATCTCTTTTATCACTGACTTTATAAAGCTTAATGGCATTTAATTAGTTGCTGAAGTGCGTCAATGCACCTGTTATCAATTACTGACACCTTGAAAGTCTTGAATTTCGTGTTAGTTTTAGTCGAGCAAAGCATTTAGTAGTTTATATAAAAAGTGAACAAATTATTTCTATAATACATATAAAATATAAATGATGTAATAGAGGATAGATGTAGATATCTATGGGCCGCAGCAACCACTTACCATCAGGTGGACTGTGTGCTCGTTTGTCACCCAATTCCTATAAAAAAAATTGTGCAATTCCTGCGCACACTCTCCGAAATGCATCCTGTAGAAAACCGAAAGGCTGGCTACTTTGCGTCTGTGTTTGAGGCTGGTACGATTGGTTTTAACCAAGTCTGGGTTACTAATAAGCCTGTTAGGACGCCTTTCCATTGAGTCCAAAGCTGCTACGTGGCATTTTGCAGCACCGGCCCATATATGGCAGCAATACTGCATGCACGACCGGACTCGCGCTTTGTATAAAGTAATCAGCTGTCTCGGCGTGAAGTATCGCCGCACATTTGCAAGGACTCCTAGCTTCTATGCAGCTGCTTTGGCTTTGGACTCAATGAACCGCCCGAACTTCAGATTTGAGGATATCTTAAACCATAACAACTGAAGACGGTAGGTATATTCCAGTGATACATTTCGGAAAGAAGGAGCCAAAGTGAGATCGCTCTTATGTGCAGAGAAGAGACACGCTTCTGCTATTTACACTGCGCTCGGTGCGCAAAGCACTCCTCTCCCTAGACCTGAAAAAGTCGAGTGGGCCTGATGGAGTCACTCCTATTGTGCTGATGACCGATTTTAACGCGCCTGTTCCGTTACTCCTACTCCCTTGGCGTAGCCCTAAATTCATGTAAGATAGCTTTGGTCCACCTGATCCTTAAAAAAGGAAACCGCTCAGACCCGTCTCACTACAGGCCTATTGCCATCATCTCCTTGTTCCCCAAAATAATGGAATCCATTATAAACTGCCAGCTCATGTGGTACCTGGAGGCTTTAGTTGGTGATCTTCTGGTCTACCTGACTCATAGATGGGCGGAGGCAGTAGAGTCCAAAGGGGAGGCATTTATCGTTAGTTTGGACATTGCGCAGACCTTCGATCGGATTTGGTACACAGCGCTTCCTTAAAAGCTTCCTTTCTATGGACTTCACGAGAAATATATGTGCAATTAGATCACCAGCTTTCTTGTAGATCGGAGCATCAATGTCGTAGTATGCCCCGATTATAAGCGTATTAAAGCTGGTGTTCCACAAGGCTGCGTGATATCACGAACGCGGTTACTTCTGCATATTAATGATATATTGCAAACCGGTAACATTTATTGCTATGCGGACCACAGCACTGGTGATGCTTTTTACACTGGCTGTGCCAATGTTTATCAGAAAAACGTCACCAAGTACCGGAACAAACTTGTGTATGTAGTTGAAACTTTGTTGAACAAAGTTTCGAATTGGGGGTGACTAAATTTAGTCCAGTTCAATCCCCAGAAGACACAAGTTTGCGCGTTTACCGCTAAAAAGATCCCTTTTGTTGTATCTCCTCAGTTTCAGGGCACTCCCTTGTTGCCTCATGCAGTATCGGAATCCTGGGCGTCGACATATCAAATGACGTACAGGGAAGAGAAGGCTAGTATGGCCTCTCTTCTCTTCAAAAAGCTTGGCGTGCTCGGCAATGCGTGACAGCATTTTATGCCGGTACACTGCCTGCAACTTCACAAGGCGCAGGTTTGGCCTCACATGAAATGCTGTTCCCATATCTGGACCGGGGCTCCTCAGTGCAAGCTCCTTTTATATGACCGTATCCAGTGCAGGGTGGTTCAAATTTGCGGTGAAGGGGTTCTTTCTGATTGCCTTGACTCACTGACAACTGCGAAGAGATGTTGCATCTCTTTGCCTATTTTTTCGCATCTACCACGGTGAGTGTTATGAGTAATGGTTCCGACTTATTGCAGCCGCTTAATTCAACATCGCATGTTGCGACAACACTCGCGATACCATCTTTATCTCCTGGATAATTTGCGGTCCACCCCTGTGCGATTTACAAGAAGAATTTTTTTTCTTCCTCGCACAACTTCCTTGCGAAATCGACTACCACCAGCGATTTTTCTGGACCGATACGACTTTTATTAAAAGACCGGTAACGCACGTGCAATTTCACTCTTCCATAAAAAAATATCAAAGATTTCTTCGCGAGGAATCTTACTCCAGACAGCAGCTTATTAAGTATAACATTTGCACTATGAAAACTGCTATAATTGAGCAAAACAAATAAACCATATACGAAATATACAGAGTGCAACATAATTTCCGTCATGAATGGACGCTTGAAGTGAGCAAACATACAAACCATATAATAATAATAATAAGTAGCGTAGCGAAGTGAAAAGCGTAGGGAAGTGACGACCCCATCGCCCGCTAACGTAACGGTTATGTGACAAAACTGCTACGTCAGCGCAGTCAGTCAGCTCCTTCCCAAGAGGTGTTAGCGCCGTGCCTCGGCAAAATTGAAGGTGCAAAAGCCCGCTTGTGCACATGGCCTTACGATGAAACGGTTCCGGGTTTGGGCGTCTCCCGTCAACTGACACCCAGTAAATGGATGATTGAACTAAGAAGATTGCGCAAAGGGCCGCTGCCTGGAGGTCTTAATACTAAGATGCTTACGAAAAATTATTAGTGACAAAGCCACCGATATTCTAGTGTTTCCTTACTGGCCTGGACAAGCTTGGTTTCCACTACTGAAAAGAATGCTCATCTTGGAGATTATCTTCTTTTAACCCAACACCTTTTGCGTTGTCGTTACAGTTTACGTCATCGATTTCATATCAGCCTTTCCCTGGTGGCCGCGTCGCTTTCAGTACAGCATTTAAGAGATTAAACACTTCGGACAAAGCACTAGATATCATGCTAGCATCTATCTCTGATAACACTATGAAACAATATTCTAGTACGTACAGACTGTGGTGGCAGTTTTGTGTAAAGAACCAACCAAAACTCCATTGTCATCCATAATATCAGATTTTAATGGATCTGTACAAAAATGGAACATCATAAGGGTCTATTAATAGTCATCGCTCTGCCCTATATCTACTCCTCGGGATTAATATAAGGTCAGATGAACAAATTAAGTGGTTACGAAACGGTGTTTATAGACAATAACCGTATCTTCCCAAATATACAACTACCTAGGATCCGGAAACTTTGCTTGATTGTGGTATCTATTTCAAATGTTGTCTTAATAAGCATAAAAAACCTATAATGGAAATAACAATACTTTTTGCTTTGTGTAATTCTCATCGCGTACAAATTCTCTCTCTATTAAGAACCTCTAATATCATACGATCTCGTCAGGTAATAAGATTAATAATATAATAATAATAAGATCAAACGAACTTCTTGAAGTGAAGTTCGATCATTAGATCGAAGATACAAACGCCCACTCAACCATACCAGGCGTAAGAAATATAAACGAATATTTCTAAAAGGAATGAAGTGGCTATTGGACCGACGGGTAAATGGAGAGTGGGAGTTGCCAACAAAAAAAATCGATTTAAAATATACCGATTTTCTAAACGTGCGAATTCCTCGAGTAGGTTAAGGGACTACATATAAGTATGTAATCCTTTAACCTAAATAACTTTATTTGTATCTTCAAATGAAGCGACTCACATAATAATGATCGAAATTTATTCCAAGTAGTTCTTTTGATATCATAATATTCACTGGAAAACGAAAGTAATTGGAAAAAAGTACTTCAGAAGGGCCCATACAGATGCAGTAGTGGACATTTACAGTACATATTGATAACGATAATGATGATGTCGATGATGATGTTATTTATTTATATGACAACTTATTATAGTTACGTGGAAATTAATTTAGGTTTATATATTGTTGAGCTTTATACATCTTTGCCTTTAATTAAAACGAAACAGTTAATGTTAGGTAGAGATTACGTCAATATCCTTTCATTAATCGTTGTAGCCTTGATTTTTATGATTTTATGAGTATAGTTAACTCTGGTAAAGCAGTTTTATATCTAAAATTTACAAATGCGTCTGAGTTACCTCCATTTATTATTTAACGCCGAAGCAAAATTTCTTTAGTAGTTATTTGGCACTTAGATGATCAGGTGGTTAATTTCAGCAGGAGGTTAAAAAATGGAATCGTTACCGATGAATACTCTGCTCGAATTCAATAAAGATACACTTCAAACCATTCGAAAGGATTACAATTTGGATAAGCCAGGAAGTATGGATCAAGCTATCGACATTTTACAAGAGTGGGTGAAAAAACAAAATCATTTTGAGAAAAAAGATTATCGTAAGTATTTTAAAAATATTAACATTTCAGAAATAATTTAAAAACTTTTATCCATGTTATTTTCAATGAATACTAAAATAACTGGGATAAAAGTTTGTATGTATGGCATATTATTAATTCAAATTCAAATTTATTCAAAGTGAATTCTAACGGTATATGGGATATTGGGGTTATCAAGGGCTTTCAATACTTTTTGTTTCGTAACATTTTTAAAACGAAATAATTGACAAATAACAATCGTCTTGTTGTCTTATTAGAACATGAAATCAATAACTGAATTTGCGTAATAAAGAGTCCTCCTTTCTCTATAAAGTCGGCTAAGTGCTGGCCTCTTGGGTTCCGTTGCTCTATTCCGAATATCTTCAGAGCACCGTTTTCTCTTGTAACTACTTTTACGTTGAAGTCTCCTATTAACACCGTATAGTGGGTTTTGGAGGAATGCATTGCTTTATAAATATCCTCATACATTTCCTCCACTTCAGGATGTGCTTGGTTCGTGCTTAAAGCTGTATGACCTTCAACGAATACCGTTTGGTGATTTTGAGCGTGAGTTACACAACCCTCTTCGACACACTCAAAATTTTTACATCGTTGTTACCGAGAGACTTATGTACGATAAATCCGACACCTTTTTAGAACAGATGGTCGCCCTCCCAGTGACAGAATAAGTTGCAAGATTCGAGGATTACCGTCTCCTCCCCTTCTCTTTGGATCTCAGATAATTAAAGCGCTTGGCAAGCAGGGTCTCAACCGCAGTTTCTTCCCTCTGTTGCCACTTACGATACCTACGGGATTTTATGGGGTAGTGTATATTCTTACACCGGCAATTACAAGTTAAATTTAGTCAGCATAACTATTAATTAAAATATAAAAGTTTATTTACTAACATGTTTATGAAAGTTTGCAAAACAGGCATCACATGAATGAATATTTTTGTAAGAGTTGCTAGCCTAGATATCGTCCTTTATAAATGGTTTTAAGCGTTGAAAACTACGACTACAGAGCTTGTCTGATCGTTGCCTTGCAATTTCCTCGGTAAAGTATAAGCGTTAAAGCTCGCGAAATATTGATAATTCTGCATAGTCGTAATCGGTTGCTGTGATATAACGGCGTGACGGCAAAAAGTTTGCAAAACGACAAACGTAAATTACGCCATGTAATAATTTCGACCAGGAAGAGAAACGACATGCTAAAATATTGATTGGAAAATCTTCACTTGAAGTATTCGCAATCAGAGAATGTTTCTTCTCTTCTGGAGGTTGCGATATTGAAAATGGACTAAAATCAACTATGGGCCATTTCAAAGGAGGTCCATGAAACCAAAGTTGGTGATCTATAATTTGGACCGGAGTAAGTCCACGCGACAAACAGGTGGCAGAATTTTCTACATCGGGCACATAATATAAATTTTGCAATATCAACTCTCTTTGTGTGCTGGCTACTCAATTCGCAACAATACTATCATAGCGATGGAGCGAAGATTGAAACCAACATAAAGAAACTGTTGAGTCCGAAAAGGCCAATATCTTTTCGATATTGATTGCATTCATTAACAATAGTTGTAATGAGCTTGGCAAGAACCGAAATTGCGCAAAGCTCGAGGTATGCGAGAGACACAACCTTACTAGGGGAAACTTTGGATTTAGCGCTAATAAGGCTAAGCAAACTCTCACCAGCGTTCCAGACGTGGAAATATACAACGCCTCCGTAAGTTTTCTCGCTAGCTTCTGCGACCCCAACAAAAGTGACGACGCTACCATTAGTGACATTTAAACGACGCGGTAATTTAATTTGTCTTATCAAGAGAGTTCTTCCCTGAAGCGTAGCTATGATCGAACAACTTCATCAGGTGGTGTGTTATCCCAATCACATTTATACAACCAAAGTTGTTTAATCAAAAGTTCATACAATACCACTGACGCTACAAATTCCATAACGTCCCATAATCTAGCAGCACATGATAGTATTGTGTGATTTGTGCAGGTCTCAGCGGGCTTTTCTACTTTAAGACAAAATGCATCCGGTCCAGGCGACCAACACAACAACAAAAGAACAACAGTAGTAGAGCCACGCGGCAGCTTTTGCTTCGGTACCACAACCTCACAGAATGCCAGCGTGAAGTAGAGGTTTACCTCTGCATAGCGCTACGTGAGTGCAGATGGCCGGAGGTACAATCCCCCCCCCCCTACCGCCCAATCAACATGGCAGTGGAATAAAATGAAAATAAAAAGAAAGTGAAAAAAGTTCAAACTACCGCTCGCGACTAATACTGCTCGGAGCAAGCGGAGTCATAAAACCAAGGCGACCCCTGTCACGCTATCCGTGAATTTTTGCAATATCAGGGGACTTCATTCCAAACTTAACGCTGTCCATTACCATATAGAGACGGCATCCTAAATGTGGAACCTTCCCTGTTGTACATTCTGCTGACCTCTCATCCGGACGGATATCAGGTCTCCATCGATACCCCTTTGGGCTCTTCGGACCATTGTCTGATCCGGAGTACGGTGCCACTCACGCTCCCATCACAGTTGCGATCTGCAGCTTGCCGCCTTGTTTGGCACAATAGGTCGACCGATTGGAACGGAATGCAGTCTCTTTTTAAATCCTACCCTTGGGGGCGCGTTTGCTTCTCGCCTGAATATCTCAGCGTTGTTGCCGATTCTGTTGCTGATATGGTACTTCAGGGTATAGAACTTTTTAATCCATCCTCTGTGGTGCCCATCGGAGGCCATTTTCAGCCATGTGTTGGTCGTTCCTGTGAAATAGCATAACGCTATAAGTAGGAGTGCTGCAGGGCCTGGGCTGACGCATCAACGTCTCGGGATGTAAACACCAGCGCTCTTAAAAAAAGTATAATTGCGCCTCCAGGTACATGAAAACCGTCATTGTCAAGACAAGGTCTGAGCACATCGGCAGAATTGGTGAGAAGTATACCACCTGTGCCAATATTTCTCGGGAAATCGTCGCCGAGTACCGAGACAAACTTGTGTCTGAAGTCGAGTCTTTGCTAAACAAAGTTTCGGATTGGGGGTGACTAAATCTAGTCCAGTTCAATCCCCAGAAGACACAAGTTTGGGCGTTTACCGCTAAAAAGAACCCCTTTGTCGTCCTCAGTTTCAAGGCACTCCCCTTGCTGCCTTAGCTAGCATCGAAATCCTCGGCGTCGATATATCGAATAGTGTGCAGTTTCTTGGTCACTTGGGATGGAAGGCCAAATTGACCTCTAAAAAGCTTGGCGTGCTCAGCAAAACGAGACAGTATTTCATGCCGGCACATCGCTTGCAACTTTACAAAGCGCAAGTTCGGCCTCACATGGAATACTGTTCTCATCTCTGGGCCGGGGCACCCCCGTGCCAGCAGTGCCGCTCTGCGCTGGATGCGGTTAAGTGGAAGGATCCACTTAACCGCATCCAGTGCACAGCGGTTCGAAGCGTCGACGACCGAGTTCTTTCTGATCGTCTCGATACACTGGCACTGCGTAGGGATGTTGCATACCTTTGCATTTTCTATCGAATTTACCACGGGGAGTGCTCTGAGAAATTGTGCGGATTAATTCCAGCCGCAAAATTTCACGAACGCAAATCGCGTCAAAGTCACGATACCATCCTCACCATCTGCATGATTGGCAGTCCATGACTGTGCGGTTTACTAGGAGTTTTCCTACAAGTTCTTTGTGGAATTGTTTATCACCGGCGATTTTTCCGGACCGATATGATTTAGGGACTTTTATAAAAAGAGCTTACACCTTTCTAAAAGGCAGGCAACGCATCTGCAATTCCCCTGGTGTTGCGGTTGTTCATGGGCGGCGGTAGTCACTTACCATCAGGTGAGCCGCATGCTCGTTTGCCCTCTCTTCTATAAAAAAAAACACAAACTGAGGACCTTGTGCGAATCAGAATCGTCAAATTCTTTTATGGCCGAGAGACAATGTGATGTATTCAAAACAATACGCGAGTTACTTGTCCACTTGATGAGGTCAAATTCACTTTGACAAATTGACTGCTTTCATAAGTGTTATAACTTTGGCGGTGTTTGAGATGGCTTCCTCTTCATTGTCAACTGAGTATAGTCGTCCATACAGAGACCACTATCATTTGATTGCCTAGCTTTGGGGTAAGAGAAGCCTTCATAAGCTGCGAGCTGCTTTACAGACCGCAGTACGTGAAATGGGCTTGACTTTATGCCAAAGCAAACACGGTTAAATTGAAAAACCTTTAGAGGCTCCTTTGGACTAAAACGATATAAAATTCGTTGAAACCGATGATCACATTCATGAATTCCAATGCAATTTAACATTTGCGGATATCGGGGGATAGAGCTTTAAGAAACAATCGAAAGCTTATGATTATGTTAAATAGGTTGTCCTGTAGATTCTGTCCACTATAAAGGATGTCGTTAAAGATGACGCGGGTGCTAGTTTTTGCACTAGCATCAAGTACTACACGTAACATAGATGTAAGTTTGTCCTCCCTAATGACGCCATGGTGACATATAAAATATATGTGTGTCTCTATGGCAGAGTCATCCATGCTTGTTAGCGCAGGCGATATATAGCCCTTCCATAAGTATTCGTTAACGACATCGTCATAAGCTTCCTTTAATTTGGGTGAAGCAAGCATCCTGCATTAAAAAAAATAGAAACGTTACTCTGCCATCTGACGCGAACTATTCAAAGACAAAATATCCATAAATGGCAGAGCTACGATATATCTACCATCTCGATTACGATCACTCGTGCGAACATAAATTTCCTCGCATAATCTATCATCGGGGCTAAGTATGGGTGGAACGTTTATTTCCTCAATTTCACAAAAATTGCGAGCTAATGATTCGAGCGAACTAATAGCGTGCACAAAGCAACGTCATCAAGGCGTTCGTGCGGTGATGCCAAATGCAAGGTGTTTAATGCACCTCTTTGGTTCTTGTGGGTGCAGTTTGAATCTATATGGCGCGGGACGTCCGTGTCGGTCACAGTTGACGAAGAGTTAATCCCAGGT